CCCGGGGGCGCGACCTGCCCGGCGGCCCGGTTCCCCTGGAGACGCGGCCAACGCGCCGCGGCGGAAACCGGCCCCTCGGAGGAGGCAGGATGCCGCCGAAGGGGAAGGACAAAAGGAAAGGCAAGGACAAAGGCAGAGGCGAGAAGTAAGGAGAAGCCGCCCTGGGTCCCCTCCAGGGCCTGCGCTCGAGGACTGGGGGTCGGACTGACGAGGGAACCCCCGCCGTCCCCGCCGGGGGAATCGTGGCTCCTTGGCTCCCCTTGGCGTGTCCCTGGTCTCCGGACCTCACCTGTGTGGATGTGTGGTCTTGAATATCTGGAGGATGTTTGGGAGGCTAGAATAGTTCCTTGGGCCTTTTCCAAGAGAATTTGGTATTGTTGAGGTAATCTGGGCAATCGTCGAGGTTTCCCCACACTGGTCAGGGCCACCGGGGCTGATACTCCGCACCAACCCGTGCAGGCCTAGACTTGCTGCTAGGTGCCACTAGACCCGTGGGGTGACTCCGGTGGCTTCTGGAGTCCAGCAACACCGTTATGGGAATGCGAGGAACCCTCCCCCCAAACCTGTGATGTTTATAAAGTAACTTGTTTAAAAGAGTAAGTCAAGCTTAATAAAGAAAGTTTGGGAAACATGGAAAGTACCAAAGGGGAAAACGAAAACCAACAGCAATCCCATCATCCAAAGATAACCACTGTTATCATTTTAGAATATTCTTGTTTTTTCTTTATGAAATGATAGCCAAGTGTACATACTTATATGTAGCTTTATACCTCATATGTAAATACTGTCTTACGATATGATTTTTTAAAAGCATAACTGCACATTTGTCTAGCACTTTTTAAAAGTGGCAAGGGCCCAGGCGCCGTGGCTCATGCCTATAATTCCAGCACTTTAGGAGGTCCAGGTGAGAGGATTGCCTGAGTCCACGGGTTTGAGACCAGCCTGGGCAACTTGTCAAGACCTCATCTCTACAAAAAATTAGCCGGGTGTGGTGGCACATGACTATGGTTTCAGCTATTTGGAAGGCTGAGGCGGAAGGAGGCCGTGAGCGTGCCACTGCCCTCCAGCCTGGGTGACAGAGTGAGGCTCCTATTTAAAAAAAAAAAAAAAAAGTCTCGGTGGCTCAGCTTGTAGTCCCACGCCTTTGGGAGGCTGAGGTGAGTGGATTGCCTGAGCCCGCGGGTTCGAGACCCGCCTGGGCAGCGAGACCTCATCTCTACAATAAACCAAAAAAAATCAGCCGGGCGTGGTAGCGCGCGCCTGTAATTACGGCTACTTGGAAGGCTGAGGCAGAAGGATCGCCGGAGCCCAGGAGACCAGGCTGTGTTGGCCGGAAGCGGCCACTGCACTCCAGTATGGGCGACCGAGTGAGACTGCAACTCAAAAAAAAAAAAAAGTGTCAAGGGAGGTCGGGTGCAGTAGCTCACACCTGGAGTCCTAGCACTTTGGGAGGCTGAAGCAGGAGGATCCCTTGAGCCCAAGAGTTCAAGGCTGCAGTGAGGTATGATTGTGCCACTGTCTCCAACCTGAGAGACAGAATGAGGCCCCTGCACCTCTAGCCTGGGTGACAGAACAAGACCTAGAACTCAAAACAAAACAAAAAAATGTGGTAAGGGCTTCTCTTATTCCTGGAACTTGCTGGCATAGGTTTTCTTTCCTTTTTTTAGAAAGCAGAATTTATTGAGAGGACAGAAAACTCCCAGAGCAGAAGGGGACCTGGGGGCATTGCTCTGGCATAGGTTCTCTATTTTTGACTACAGTACACATGTGAACAAGGAGGAACGCTGAGGATGACATTTATTCCTTGGATTTTCTGTGATCCATTGTTTGCGAAAGCCAGTTTGTTTCCACAGTCAGTATTAGGGTTCTCCTATTAGAGATGTCTAATTTCTTGCATCGAGTTCTCTGAGCCACTTAGACCTGCTACCTTCAGGGAGTAATTGAATGATTGTATGAGGCAGTCTGTCACTAGTACCAAATCATACTGGAAAGGGAGATGTAGGTTGGTGGCTTGGGTACGGAGCTGGCCTTAATTTGAAGAGAACAAAAAGTGAAAACAGGAGTGGAAAGAGACTGAGAACCAAGAGTTAGGAAGTGGATGTGGGGGTGGCAGTGTAGAAAGGTCCACACACATATGTGTGAGAATGTTTAGAATTCAGATATAGGTGAAATCTTCTTGTATTTTCTGTGTATTTATATATCTTAGTGCCTACCATATATATAAGGGATAATTTTTGTTTGTTTGTTTTTGAGTAGGAGTCTCACTATTGCCCAGACTGGAGTGCAGTGGCACACTCACAGCCACCATAGCCTCAACCTGCTGGGCTCAGGTGATCCTTCCACCTCAACCTTCCAAGCAGCCGGAACTTTAGGTGCTTGCTACCACGCCCAGCTAATTTTTTGATTTATCGTAGAGATGAGGTCTTGCCACGTTGCCCAGGCTGGTCTCGAACCCCTGGACTCAGGCAGTCCTCTCACCCCAGTCTCCCAAAATGCTAGGATTACCGGCTTACCATGCTTTTCCTCTTTGTTTTTCCAGTCTTTTAGCCTTAGGCTCCGGTGCTCTCCTCTTCCAGGAAAAAGCACCTACTTAACTCTCTTATGTGAATATAAGTGAATATGTATTTCTTATTCACTCACAGTATTTGCTGTTGTGTGCCAGGTATTCCCAAGCAAAACAAATTTTTAAAAAGAGAAATGTAATACTAACATAGTAGAGTTATATACTGACTAGATAGTAGAGTTATATAATTGTATACTGTCAATGTTCTCTTCCCCTGCAGGAAGTCAATAAAAATAGATGAATCTGTGATGGACAGAGCCAAGGCCAATGCCTCCCTTTGGGAAGCCAGGTTAGAAGTCACAGAACTCTCTAGGATTGAGTATCGTGATACTTCCCGGAGACTGGCAAAAAGTAATGAAGACTTAAAGAAACAGCAGTATAAAATGGAGAAAGACACAATGTCTGTATTAAGCTACCTAAAGAAGCAGGATCAGGAGAAAGATAATATGGTAGGTAGGTAGGTACCAAGCCTCACCAGCTTCCTCTGTGGTTATACTAGCATGGACACATATTTCAATGACTTGAATTCCTTGAAATCTTTTTTTTTTTTTTTTTAATAGAAACGCGGTCTCTTCATGTCTCCATGTTTCCTAGGCTGATCTTAAACTTCTGAGCTCAAACAATCCTCCTGCCTTAGCCTCCCAAAGTGCTGGGATTACAGGCATGAGTCACTGTGCCCAGCATCATTGCTTGAAATCTTATCACATAGTTAAGACATTTCAACAGACCTTAACTCTTCTTAAAGCAAGATGATATTTCAGAATGGTTTTTCTGTTATTGGCTTTTTCTTATTTTCAGTTCTTGTTCCACAATTTCTTGTCTGGAACAAATAGAGATTGATAATCATAAGGGAATATTGTGACCCACTTTGTTTTATTTTATTTATTTATTTTATATTTTAAAATATAGTTTATTTTTAAATCAATTAGAGCACGAAAGAAAAGGGAGAGAGAAGATTCACTTCCCCAAGGTCGGGGAGGGGGCCAAAACCAGGAAGCATGGCGGCAGCCATAGCTCAAAGAGCACATGGCCACACCAGAGTCTAGGCAATGGCTATCATTTATTTTTGAGTTGGAGTCTCACTCTGGCGATCAGACTGGAGTATGATGGCACATGCTTATAGCCACTGCAGCCTCGACCTGCTTGGCTCAGACAATCCTTCTGCCTCGGCCTTCCAAGTAGCTGGAACTACAAACACATGCCACCACACCTGGCTAGTCTTTTGACGTATTATAGAGATGAGGTCTCACCAAGTTGCCCAGACTGGTCTCGAACCTGTGAGCTCAAACAATCCTCTCACCTTGGCCTCCCAAAGTACTGAGATTTTAGGCTTTAGCTACCATGCCCAGCTAACCTACTTTATTGCGATCTGTATGTTTTTTGATACTAATAAATATTTAGTTTTAACAATTTATAAAACATTTCACTGATAATCCATGATCACATTATGAACTCAACAAGTTGAATTTATTTATTTTGGCCATTTGAATCTTGTACCCTTTTTTTTTTTTGTTTTTTTTGAGTTGGAATCTCACTCTTGTCGTCCAGACTGGGGTGCAGTCGCCGCTCCCGGCCACCCCAGCCTCGACCTGCTGGACTCCGGCAATCCTTCCGCCTCAACCTTCCAAGTAGCTGGAACTATAGGTGCGCGCTACCATGCCCGGCTAATTTTTGATTTATTGTAGAGATGAGGTCTCACCAAGTTGCCCAGGCGGGTCTCAAACCCGTGGGTTCAGGCAATCCACTCACCTCAGCCTCCCAAGGTGCAGGATTACAGGCTGAGCCACCAAGCCCGGCTGAATCTTGTACCTTACTGTACCTTATTGAAGTATCTGAGAGTAAGCTATCATTTTATATCTGGAAGAAAAAGAGAAGGGAACTAACATTTTAGAGTCACTATATTATGCCAGGCACCATGCTGGGTGCTTTACCTCTCTTATCTCATTTAATCCTTTTAATAACTCTATGTCCTATTATATTGTTATTTCCATCTTACGGATGAAGAGGTGGACTCTCAGAAAGAACAGATAACTTGGCCAAAGTAACACAGCTAATGTGTGTTAAAAGTGGAATCCAGGTATAACTCTAAGTTCTTCTCTTTCTTAGCTGCCTCTGTCAGCCCCTCGGAAATCCAAGAAAATTTCTTCCATGCTGAGGATGATGTGCTGCTTCCTTTCCATGTTTTTCTATTTTTACTATTTATGCTTTCATAAACAGTACATATGGTAGTCTTGTTGTAAAATGTACAAAAATAGTATCATTGTACATAACTTTTGCAACTTTTTTCATTCAATATTTTGTTTTTGTGGTATAGTCTCAAAAATCACATGTTGTATCAGTTCGTTTATTTTTATTTTTATTTTTTTTGAGTTGGAGTCTCACTCTGTCACCCAGACTGGAGTGCAGTGGCCACTTCTGGCCACCACAGCCTCGACCTGCTGGGCTCCGGCGATCCTTCCGCCTCAGCCTTCCAAGTAGCTGGAACTACAGGTGTGCGCTACCATGCCCGGCAAATTTTTTGATTTATTGTAGAGATGATGTCTCACCAAGTTGCCCAGGTGGGTCTCGAACCCGTGGGGTCAGGCAGTCCACTTACCTCAGCCTCCCAAGGTGCCGGATTATAGGCTGAGCCACCAAACCCAGCTCAGCTCATTTATTTTTAAAAATTTGTAACAAGCATGTTCTGTTTTTTCATTTATTCTTAACTGCTTTATAATATTCCTTTAAATAAATAGCACAAAATTTATTTTATCCTTTCCCCTATCCTCTCCATTGGTCAGACTCCATTTTTTCATTGTTAGAAACAGATCATCAGTGAACATTCTTGCATATGTTTGCTTGTACCCATGTGTAAGAGTTTCTCTAAAGTAGACACCTAGAAGTGAAATTACTACATATTAGAGTATGCACAGTTTTTTTGTTTTTGTTTTTGTTTTTTGAGTTGGAGTCTCACTCTGTCACCCAGACTGGAGTGCAGTGGCCACTCCCGGCCACCGCAGCCTCTACCTGCTGGGCTCCAACGATCCTTCCACCTCAGTCTTCCAAGTAGCTGGAACTACGGGCGCGCACTACCATGCCCAGCTAATTTTTTTATTTATTATAGAGGTGAGGTCTCGCCAAGTTGCCCAGGCGGGTCTTGAGCCCACGGGCTTAGGCTATCCACTCACCTCAGCCTCCCAAGGTGTGGAATTACAGGCTGAGCTACCGAGCCCGGCTTGAGTATGCACAGTTTTAACCTCACAAGAGTTTACATTGAGCAGCGAAGGGGTTATAACAATTTATATTTTCATAAGAAATATACTAGAATAAGTTCCTGCTTACCCACAGTTTTGTCATGTTCATTGCTTCACCCACTTTGTATTGTTCATATGTTTGCCTCAGTACACACATGAACTAATATTGGAGGGATGTAGATCATGGCTCCTACATAGGGATGGCATTCAAGTTTACGAATCACAGTATATTTTTTTCAGAGCCACCTTCTCAGTGAGAACCTTCCTTATTACCCTGTTTAAACTTTAAAACTACCCTCATTTCAACATTCTCTAGCTTCCTCCCCTGTTTTACTTTATATATATACAAAATATATTTAAATATATATAAATATATATATGAAATATATATTATACATAGTTTGTTTATTTGAATTGAAGTCTCCCTCTGTCGCTCAGGTTAGAGAGCAGTGGCATACCCACAGCTACCACAACCTCAACCTGCTGGGCTCAGGAGATCCTTCTCAGCCTTCAGAGTAGCTGGTACTATAGGCATGCACCACCGTGCCTGGCTAATTTTTTATTTATTATAGAGATGAGGTCTTGTCAAGTTGCCCAGGTTGGTCTCGAACCCCTGGACTCAGGTAATCCTTTCACCTCTGTCTCCCAAACTGCTGGGATTACAGGCATGAGCCACCACACCCAGCCTTGTTTTCTTTATGTGTGTTATCTGTGTATGTTTTTATTGTCCTATTTCCTGATTAGAATAGAAAACTCACAGAAGGAATTTGGGTTCTTTTTTTTTTTTTTTTTTTGATTCAGTGCTATATTCCAGCACTTAGTAAGAGTCTGGCACATAGTTGGCACTGATTAAAATTTTTTTGCATGCATAAATGAATGACTTGTGAGTGTACTGATGCTTTGAAAAAGTTAATGGTAATTAAAACTAAATTCAAAATGATATTGAAAGTAAATTAGAGAAATCAAACAACTGAACCTTTATGTGAATTTTATATATTTTATTAAATAAAGTATAGTTTTTTGTTTTTTGTTTTTTTTTTTGGAGTTGGAGTTGGAGTCTCACTCTGTTGCCCAGGGTGGAGTGCAGTGGCATGCTCATGGCCACCACAGACTTGACCTGCTATATATATACTCAGGCGATCTTTCCGCCTCAGCCTTCCAAGTAAGCATATGCCACCACACCCGGCTAATTTTTTGATCTACTGTAGAGTTGAGGTCTCACCAAGTTGCCCAGGCTGGTCTCGAACCCGTGGGCTCAGGCAGTTCTCTCACCTTGGCCTCCCAAAGTGTTGGGATTATAGACGTGATCCACTGTGCCCGGGTAAAGTATAGTTTTTGTACATTAATGCTATTTTTAAATTTTCTTTTCCAGACACCTTTTATTTTTAAAATTACTGTTTGAATACTAGATATTATCAAACTTGTCTTCTCTAAAGTACTGTTCTAAAGTAAGCTTTTGGACCAACCATACAAATAATTTTCAAAATTCACAGCTTACATAGAAGCTTTGTGACCTCCATTTGCTCATTGGTATTGGTCTGCATTTATCAATATCATATTTCCTGATTCTCATCTGCCATATATCAAAGGCCAGCATCTGGTTGTAGGAAATTCATAATTCATAATAATCATGAATTGCCATTAAGGTCAAAAAACAACCTTGGGAGGAAGAAGCAAAGTAAATATATCCTGATTAACTAGCTCCCCATTAGTTTTGTTACTCATTCTACTATATTCTAGGAGTCTGTTATTTTCTTAAATGTTTAAACTATTTACATTTTTATTTTATGTTAATTACCGAAATATAAAGTGTGTTTTGAAATTTTATTCTTAACAAAATTAGGAGATTTTCATTAGGACTAGGTTTTTATATTTAAGGCTTTATTAAATCACTCACAAAATAATTTCATTAAATATCATACCTGTTCTGTATGACTGAGACCTGTCCCATTTTATTCTTTAGTTTCTGGGCTTTCTCAAGCTAGCCTAAAATATTATTTGCCACAGTATCTCACTTCTGTATCCTCTGATTTTGTAGCCATGTCAATGAGTTGTTAGTTTAAAAAGTTACTCAGATTCTCTTACTAAGATGAATCAGCATTCCTTAGAGAAATGATTAATCCCAGGACTGGGGCAGGAAATGTAAAAGATGAGCTTGAAATATTTTCTTGTGCCAGAAGATAAAAAATGTTATAGGAGCCGGGCTCGGTGGCTCAACCTGTAATCCCGTGCTTTTGGGAGGCTGAGGTGAGTGGATTGCCTGAGCCCGCAGGTTCATGACCCACCTGGGCAACTTGGCGAGACCTCATCTCTATAATAAATCAAAATGAGCCGGGCGTGGTAGCGCACGCCTGTAGTTCCAGCTACTTGGAAGGCTGAGGCGGAAGGATCACTGGAGCCCAGCAGCCCAGCCACTACACTCCGGTCTGGGTGACGGTATGAGGCTCCAACTCAAAAAAAAAAAAAAAAAGTGTTACAGGGCATTTTGAAGGGGTATCCATTGGCTAAATCTGGAGCAATAAAAATAAATAATGACAGTAACTGACCACAACCCTTTGAATAAAATAAGGGTTATGCTGAGTTTATACTGCTAACAAATACTTTAATAAACAAAGGAGAAAGGAAAGATTTTTTTGGTTTTTGTTTTTTACAGTAAATTGTCAATTAGTAAATTTCCGTGGAGTGATAGATTTAGAAGAATCAGCATTTGGCATCATAATCAGTTAAGAATACCAGTGAATGATAAAAGTAGTAGGTGAAAGTTTGACGAGAAGGGAGAAGGATAGTAGCATAATCTCAAAATATCTTCACCAAAATTACTTAATAATTACAAAGAAAAAAATAGTAACTTTTAGGTGGAGAAAGCAGGCAGACACAATCTATTTTTTTTTTTTTTTTTGAGTTGGAGTCTCATTCTTGTCGCCCAGGGTGGAGTGCAGTGGCACGCTCATGGCCACTGCAGCCCTGATTTGCTGGGCTCAGGCAATCCTCCCACCTCAGCCTTCCAAGCAACTGGAACTATAAGCGCATGCCACCACGACCAGCTAATTTTTTGATTTATTGTAGAGATGAGTCTCCAACTTGCCCAGGCTGGTTTCGAACCCGTGGGCTCAGGCAATCCTCTCACCTCAGCCTCCCAAAGTGCTGGGATTAGAGGTGTTGGCCACTGCACCTGGCCTTGGCAGACACAGTCTTAAGTGATTAAAATTAACATCAGTCACCTTATGATGTCTAGTGTACTGAAAAGGATATATAATCACTTTAGCTAGTTTATGCCTGCCAAAAGTGTATAACCTGAATCTATTCATGAGGAAGCATCAGACAAGCCCAACCTAGCCAGTATTCTTCAAAACGGTCAATTTAAAGACAAAGACTGAGAAACTGTTCCAGATAAAAAGGAGACTAAGAAACATGACAACTAAATGCAATGTATGATCAAGGATTATATCCTGGACCAGAAAAAAAAAAGTTACAGTAAAGGACATTATTGGGCCAATTGGTGCCAGAGTTTAAATATGAAGTATAGATTAAATTATAGCATTATATAAATGTTAAATTTTCTAATTTTTGATAATTATAATGTGCTTATAAAAGAGAATGTCATTTTACTTAGGAACTAGATAATAAAGTGTGTAAGGGTAAAAGGACATGATATCCAAAATGTACTCTCACATTGTCCAGGGAGAATAGAAATAAAAATATATACACATAAATAAGAGAACAAGAAGGAAAGCAACAGGTGAAGAGTATATGGGAATGCTTTGTACTCTTCTTAATACTTTTTTATAAATACCCACATAAGAGAAATGTAAATAAAAACCACAGTGACATTAGGATGGTTACTCACACCCATTAGGATGGTTACTATTTAAAAAATAATAATAATAACAAGTGTTGGTAAGGATGTGGAGAAATTGGAACTCTAGTGCACTGTTGGTGGAAGTATATTTTGTTGTAGCCGCTATGGAAAACAGTATGGAAGTTCCTGAAAAAATTAAAAAGTAATTTTTAATCTCATTTTTGGGTATATATTCCAAAAAATTCAAGACAGAATCCTGAAGAGATATTTGCACACCCACGTTTATTGCAGTATTGTTCACAATAGCCAAGAAGTGGAGGCAATCCAAGTGACCACTGATGAGAATGAGTAGATAAAGAAAATGTGAGGCCAGGTGTGGTGTCTCACACCTATAATTCCAGCACTTTGGGAGGCTGAGGTGAGAGGATTGCCTGAGACCACCGGTTCGAGACCACCTTGGGCAAATTGGCGAAAACTGATCTCTACTATAAATCAAAAAATTAGCCACTCAAGCCTGAGTGACAGAGTGAGACAGTGAGACTCCAACTCAAAAAAAAAAAAAAAAAGAGAAAGAAAATGTGTATACATACAGTGGAATATTATGCAGTTTTAAAGGAAATCCTGTCACATCCTATAACATGGATGAACTGCAAAGACATTATGTTTAACAAAATAAGCCAGTCGCAAAAAGACAAATACTGTTTGATTACACTCATGAAGTATCTAAAGCAGTCAAGACCATAGAAATGGAAAGCAGGGTGGTTGCCAAGGGCTGGGGAGAGAGGAGAGAGGGAATTGATGTTTAATACATAATGGTTTCAGTTTTCTTTTTTGTTTGTTTTTTGTTGTTGTTGTTGTTTTTCTTTTTTTTCGAGTCAGAGTCTCACTCTGTCACCCAGACTGGAGTGCAGTGGCCACGCCCGGCCACCGCAGCCTGGATCTGCTGGGCTCCAGTGATCCTTCCGCCTCAGCCTTCCAAGTAGCTGGAACTACAGGCGCACGCTACCACGCCCGGTTAATTTTTTTATTTATTGTAGAGATGAGGTCTCGCCACGTTGCCCAGGCGGGTCTTGAACCCGTGGGCTCAGGCAATCCACTCACCTCAGCCTCCCAAAGTGCTGGGATTACAGGCTGAGCCACGGAACCTGGCTTGGTTTCAGTTTTCTTTTTTTTTTTGAGTTGGAGTCTCACTCTGTCACCCAGACTGGAGTGCAGTGGCTGCTCCCGGCCACTGCAGCTTCCACCTGCTAGGCTCCAGCAATCCTTCCACCTCAGCCTTCCAAGTAGCAGGAACTACAGGCATGCGCTACCACGCCTGGCTCATTTTTTTATTTTACTGTAGAAATGAGGTCTCGCCACGTTGGCCAGGCGGGTCTTGAACCCGTGGGCTCAGGCAATCCACTCACCTCAGCTTCCCAAAGGTGCGGGATTACAGGCTGAGCCACTGAGCCCAGCTGGTTTCAGTTTTCTAAAGAGCTGTTGCATAACAGTGTGAACAGATTTTTTTTTAAGTTGGAATCTCACTCTGTTGCCCAGGCTGGAGTGCAGTGGCACGCTCACGGCCACCATAGCCTTGACCTGCTGGACTCAGGCAGTCCTTCCACCTCAGCTTTCCAAAAAGCTGGAACTACAGGTACAAGCCACACGCCTGGCTAATTTTTTGATTTGTTGTAGAGATGAGGTCTCACCAAGTTGCCCAGCCTGGTCTCAAACCCCTGGTCTTAGGCAGTCCTCTCACCTCAGCCTCCCAAAGTGCTGGGTTTACAGGCTTAAGCTACCACACCCAGCATGAACAGACTTAACATTTTAATAAAGTGTTCGTAGCCGGGCTTAGGGCTCAGTGGCTCAGCCTGTAATCCCGCGCCTTTGGGAGGCTGAGGTGAGTGGATTGCCTGAGCCCACGGGTTCGAGACCCGCCTGGGCAACTTGGTGAGACCTCATCTCTACATTAAATAAAAAAATTAGCTGGGCGTGGTAGCGTGCGCCTGTAGTTCCAGCTACTTGGAAGGCTGAGGTGGAAGGATCGCCAGAGCCCCAGCAGGTCAAAGCTGCGGTGGCCAGGAGCAGCCACTGTACTCCAGACTGGGCGACAGAGTGAGATTCCAACTCAAAAAAATCAATCAATAAATAAAGTGTTCGCTTAAAAATGGTTAAGATGAGCTTGGCACAGTGGCATGCACCTATAGTTCCAGCTATTCAAGAGGCTGAGGCAGGAGGATCCCTTGAACCCAGGAGTTTGAATACAACCTGGGCAGCATAGCAAGACCCCATCTCTTAAAAAAAAAAAATTGGCTAAGATGGCAAATTTAATTTTGTTTTTTCAAAATTTTTAAACCACAATTAAAAAAAAGTTTCCCAGGTAATTCCCTGTCCCCTCTTCTCTACTTCCCACCTTACTCTCTTCTCCTGCCCTACCGGTTTTAATATTAGGTGAAAACTAGGCCATTTAATAAAGGTAGGCTATAGAACATTTCATTTACCTTCCTAACTCTGTATTTTCATTTTCTATAGATTGAAAAACTGAAACAGCAATTGATTGAAACAAAGGAAAAATCCCAAGAGGAAAAGGAAAGATTGGTGAGTTACTAACGTATACTCTTCTGGTTTCTGGCGAGCTCAGCTATTTAAGATTCAATGAAAGAGCAGCTCAACAACCTTAGAGGCCACATTTGATTGCACAGCAGCTGAAAATTTATAAAAGTGTATTTTGTTTTTTTGAGTCAGAGTCTCACTCTGTTGCCCAGACTGGAGTGCAATAGCAAGCTCATGGCTACTGCAGCCTCAGCCTGCTTGCCTCAGGCAATCTTCCTATCTCAGCCTTCCAAGTAGCTGGAACTATAGGCATGCGCTACCACACCCGGCTTACTTTTTGATTTATTGTCAAGACGGGGTCTCACCAAGTTGCTCAGGCGGGTCATGAACCCG